TTGATTCTCCGGTTTCATATGCTTGTCAGCCGGAAAAGATCGAGGCTCCTAGGCCTGACGCCACAACATGCTTTCTGCCTTGTCCTACACCACCTACTTCATATTAGACACCCCCCAGCTCCAAAAAAAGTTTTCTCTCCATAAGAATTTAGTGGCGAGTGGTTGCTCAAAGTGAAGCAGTAGCTGATAGGGAAGTATTTCCCACAATTACGATGCTGCTGCATTTCACACAAGCTTGTCCTTCAAAGGATTTTCTTATCCAAATTGGACTTCATTCTTCACCTCAACCAGATCTAATCAACACGTCGACAGGAGTTAACACGAGGCCATAAGTGTCGTGGTGACTACACCAGGCAGACACACACAAACACGCACAAACATTGTACAGATCTGACATTTAAAATGTGTCAGGTTTGACAATCATTACGTTGACACAAAAGCCTATTGTTAATAATAGTTTTAAACATTTCCAATGTCAGTCCTTAAATCCGAATTCTTATTTGGGAATTTTTTTGCTTTTGAAATATACTCACACCTAATATAAGTAGTTTCGTCGACTGCAATGGCAGTTTTATTTTCTTCATCTAAAATCCTAATAGTCTTGTGATTTGACAGAGGCTTAACTTGCCTAATGGGTCACATTTGTTTAATATTTTGAAAAATTATGCTTTAAATGATATTAGTAGGCAGCATATTTTCACTAAATTTTACCTGATCTTGCTTGCCAATAGTTATTCCTATTCAGGCTGGCCTGGATTGCCGGTTCGACTTCGGCTTCCCAGTGGGACTAGAACCTAGATTGTGGCAGAATAACTTTTATTGAAGATTTATTAATAGTGTAGAAGCCCTCTTTCTATCATTATTAGTAACTTAGTCAATTTAAGTGGCAAAACCTAAATTTGCCTCGTCGGCATCCGATTGCACAAGTGTGCATTACACGATTTCGAGCCCCGCTGAAGGGGCTGATGAAACTGATAAAGCCCAGCTCGGATGAGAGCGCCTTTTGGGAAGCAAGAATGAGTAAAATTAAGTGCCACTTAAACCATTTTTGGAACATTTATCTATCAGTCCTTAATTCATTGTAGGCAAACTGGAGTGTAGGCAACTGAATTTCAAAGGGTATATGCGATGCATTATAACATTATGGTCTACTCATTTGCTTCACTATCAATCCTGGAGGTGTTTAATTTGCTATGCTAGACTTAATCTCACCTCTTCTTTCCATTACTTTGATTATCATCATCTACGCTACAGTTTAGCTCTCTTGCTCTCACTCCCTCTATCTCTCTCTTTCTCTCTCTCTCTCTCTCTCGTGTTATTGAACCGCTCTAATCTGCCTAGACTAGAACTTCGACCATCCTATTACCTTAACTATAGCATGCAGCAGCGATTCTTTGTTGTTGTGGCAAAATCCAACAACCAGACCTTCATCACCTTAAACGAAATATGGTGAATACATATCATATATCCTTCTGTTTTGGTCAATTTTGTCATTCTCCACTACCATCTTCCGCGTCGTCATATTACTTTAGAGTTCTATGCACTTGTCTCTATGCAGAACCTATTGCTCTTATTTTTTTGCAATTCTATATTTTAGTTTTAACTCTGTTTTTCACACATTTCTCGTTTGTAGGCCTTAATTTTTGTGTATCCACCACATCTAGTGTATATGAAAAGTGAATTTTGCTAATTTGATCACATTTCTTGTGGCATTTAGGTCGACCCGTGAGCTGCCGTACAGCCAGTCAAATTCCCGCCAACGCAGAAATTCCCGACGGCCTGACTCGTGGCTCCAGCGATTTGAGCCATTTGGCGGGACCGTCGAGTGCCGTCAGTCTTCAGGCATCCGGACCGGATAGAAATGAGACGAACGAAGCTGCCGGAGGTCTGCCGGCTCTGCTATCGCGGACGAACGGTGCCACGTCGGGAGTTAATGACCGCAGTCGAAATGCTTCCATGCGCGGAGCATCACAGCGTCCGGCCACGGTGAGTTCGTCTGTCTTGATCTTTGTTGTCGCCTAATTGCCGAGGGTATTTGTACATGTCTGATGCCGTTTAGACCATGTAGAAGAAGTTTTTGAGACAGTTTTTGTTCTATAAATGGTTGAATTGACCGTCATTCCGAGAGAAAGTGTATGTGAGGAAGGGATTCATGAGTCAATTTGTCTATAAGATGAGAGTAGATTTTCCCTGATCTGTTGGAGTTCGACTAAAGTTGAACTTATAAACTCAATGATTGTTAGGAGATTGAAGATGGTGAATTTGGACATGAGGGAGGGAGGCAATATAATAATTACCTATTAGGTTAATTTGTATAAAAAACTTTAAAAGTTTAAAATATATGATAATAGATAAAAATATGAAATATAATCACCCAAGATTGATTAAAAGTATCTAAAGTGGGAAAATGGAATTTTTCCCATAAGTAGATAAATGGGACTCCCGATGCCATTAAATTTCACTTATTCACACTTGCCACAAATATTTCTTATCCAGACAAAATTTAATTGTTGTTTTAATCTTGCGTTATCATCTCGTCAACATCCACAACGAAATGTTAAGCCTGCGAGCGCGTAGTTGCAACTTCAGTTGAGACGTAATAAGAAAAGAATTTGGGCGGCAGGATTGAGTAAAGTGCAATGGCATCATGTGGCCAACTTATTTTATTGTGAGAAAAACTCTGCTTTCACTATGTAAATAATCTTATTCGGCATATGTTCACGATTAGTTTCGAATCATCCTCATACAGAATCTAAGAGATAAAGAGCCTTACAACTCTTCTCAATTTTTACCTCTCCATCTTAGTCTCCATCTAGTCTAGGAGGATGGCCGAATCCCTACGAAAGTCGGAAATCGAAACAACTTTCAAAGAATATCTATCAAATTGGCAAACTTGGGCCAAAGCATCTAGTCCGGAGTCCATACTATGCATGATCATTTCCAGAGCGGACTGTGGACTTGGTACATTCCCCAACGCTTCGCCAGCATCATCAGTGAGACCTGTCACTTTTACCAAGTCCATTGTCCCAATCTGGAAATGATCATGCCTACTATAGACTCCAGGCCTCTCGTGTCTTCCTGCCAAAATGACCAAGTTGCGAAAACAAGACCAAACAACTTCTTTACAAGGAAAGGAGACCACGACCATACAAAAGGACACACCATCCTGGTCTTTATATCCTCGACTAAACTATGTCATTTCAGCTGGCAAACGCAAAAATAGAGCGCCTATTGACTGTTAGAAATGGAGGTATGAAGGCAAGCAATAACTAGTTACGCTTGGGTGATTGACTCAAGAATGAGAATATAAGTTAGCCACCTTCAGAATGAAGACGAATTAGCCATTCTCTTCAAATTTGGCTTTGATTACCCTTTTACTTTCAACAGTTATGCTCTTAAAAGCTAATCAAATCAGCGAATAAGTCTCCAACTTTGCTTACTTGCTATGATGGGTGTTGCTAGAAGAATAATAAAAAGTGATTACTCTTTAATTACCTTAGCATAGGTGTT